CTCACAAAGTGGCTAAATTGCTCAGGTTAGGTTTGAATTTCAGAGCCTTCATAATGAGCTACATCCTCAGTCCACTTTTATTTTTTTTATTTTGAGACAGAATCTCACCACATTACTAAGTTGCTCAGGCTACACTTGAACTCGTGCTCCTCTTACCTCAATCTCCAAAGAGCTAGAATTACAGACATGTGCCACCACTACCCAACTTCCACATTTTCTTTTCCCTTTCATCCTGTGATAGAACTTAGATTGCATCCATACTTTTACTATTGTGAATAATACTGCAATGAATGTGAGGATGAAGGTATCTCTTCTAGATGCTCATATCATTTCCTCAAATCTTTATGAGCATCATTTTTTCTAATGGATAAAATGAAGAATTTGAATCCATGTGGCAACTCTCCCCCAACGTAAGCAAACAAGCCCATATAGGACAACCCTCCCCCAGTGCCAGGAGGTAGGCCTGTACTAGATACTGGCATGTACCCCTCACCTGCATGCAAGGATGAGATCATCTACCAACTCCAAGCTGGCTTTACATTTTGCTTCCCATTGGCCCAGGGCAGCTAAGGCAAGGACTAACCAACCAGAATCACCCTGTATGAGAATAATGCCCAAGGAGAGAAGGAAGCAACCAAATTCCATGGTTGAAACATTAAGCTCAACATTGCACTTTAACCCTACCCTGGGGCTTCCATCCAGCAGAGACCAGAAAGTTGATCATGTTTTCCATTTCCCAATGGAAGCAAGGACATGCTTTGGCTTGAATAGTAACCACACTCTGCAGCAAATGGACAGAGGGGTGCCTGGGGCAGGGAGGGCACTTCAAAATCCTACAGGCCATAAAGCTGGGCATGGAAAATCATGGAAGGCTTGATTCCAATATTTTAGATCTTAGAAAGAAACCACTTATTCAAAAACACAAGAATTTTTTGGGGGCTCAATCTTTTTTTGATTTTTCTATTTTTTATTATTTTTATCTTTCCTTCATTGGGATTTTGGGAAGTTTGGGGTTTTTTTTCTTTGTCAGTTTTTCTTTTTTCCTTCTATTTTTCCTCTTCCTTCTTATCTTTCTCTTCTGTTTTTGCTCTCTGTTTTGCTTTCTTCTTCTTTTTCTTATTTTTTTCTGTGATTGTTGTCTAACACTATTAATTTCTTTTTACTCTTCATTAGGACCTCATATATAATTTTCTGTCCTCATATCCTATTTATTAATTTCTCAAATTTTACTTTTTTCATCCTGCAGTTCCACACACACTTATCTTTGCGAGTATAACTGCTGAACTTGATGAATCTCTAAACAGCTAATTAACTTTATGCTGTATCTGTTGAATACTGTTCTATTATTAGTAGAGGTAGAGTTGCTCTACTTAGTAGATATTTACTATAGGTCAATATTTCATTTGTGTTAGTGTTCATACTGTAATTATAGACCTCATTTCTATGATCAAAGGTGGTACATTACCAGTCCCTAAGGTTTGTTAATACTCAATTTATATTTGATGCTATAATTGATGCTGTTTTATTACCACAGGCAAGGTGATACAGCTGTTGCTATCTCAAAGTAATAAAAACCATTTATGACAAACCAACAACCAACATCTTATTAAATGGGGCAAACTAAAAGCTTCTGCTCTAAAATCAAGAACAAGAAAATAATGTACACTACCACTACTCCTATTCAATATACTACTCAAAGCATTAGGAAGAGCAATTAGGCAAGAGAAATAAAAAGTGATATGTACAGAAGGAAAGAAATCAAATTAGCATTATTTTCAGATGACATGATACTCTACATAGAAGACCCCAAAAATTCCACCAAAAGACTTTTAGGATTAATTACAAAATTTAGTAACATAACAGGATACAGTGAACACTCAAGATCAATAGTGTTCCTATACACTAATAATGAATCCACTGAGAAGAAATTAGGAAAAAATACCATTCACAATCACCAAGAAAAATTAAATACTTAGGAAGTGACCTAACTGAGGAAGTGAAAGACCTCTACAATGAAAACTACAGTACTCTGAAAAATTAAATGAAAGAGGATGTCAGAAAATGGAAAGACATCCTCTGTTCCTAGATAGGCAGAACCAATATAGTCAAAATGGCCATAACTCCAAAACTGATATGAAAATTTCATGCCATCCCAATCAAAATATCAATAGCATTCTGCACAGAGCTGGAGCAAACAATCTTAAAATTCATATGACATCAAAAGAGACTAACAAAAGTAATCCTGGGAAAATCAAAGCAGGAGGCGTCACAATCCAGACTTGAAGAGCTATTACAAAGCTCCAGTGATAAAAACAGCATGGTACTGGCACAAAAACAGATGTGAGGAACAATGGATCAGAAATGATGATGTATAAACAACCCCAAACCCATTCACTATTTGATCTTTGACAAAGTAACCAAAAACACACTGGTGGGCTATTCTATGTAATTCTTGGGGAAAAATCATTTCATAATTAAACTGTGAATAGGGCTTGTCAAGGCCTAGTATCTTGCCATTTGAGCCAGCTATTATATACAGAAATATAATTCTGTGTGTCTCTGGTCACAGTTGAGGCTTCAGTGGTTCTGTGATGCTATGATGTTCCAGGGTAAGATTGTATCAGCTGAGGACATCCTGGTTCCTTGAGAACTCGGTAGTAATAAAAAAAGGTTTCACCTTGTGGAAAGAACAAAACCCTTATTAACCTGCCATCTCTCCCCACTGTCCTCATCAACAAAAGATCCTCATTAGTTTAAGATCACCACTGCTGCTGAGTCATCCAATAATCCCCTCACCATTTTCCTCAGTGTAAATGTGATCAATAAATATAGAGATTCTGGCTGCCTTGTGGCCTTTTGTTCCCTGTTAACAACTGGTCATCCCAGATCCCTGTAGCACTGCTATTTGTCTCTTGCTCTTTCTTTTCACCATGTGCCGTAACACCTTGCAGGAGATTGGGGTCCACTGCAGGGGTCCCTGATAACTGGTGCTCAACTGTAGTCTGAACCCACGGAGTTCTTGCTGGCTTGGTGAATTTACTGGGAGTGTTTCGATGGCATTTGGATGTCAAGTGATGATTCTAGAGACATCTAATGTGTAGCTAAGGTAAGTACTTTCAACACAAGTAATACATTCGCTGGGATTAAAACATGGGACAATCTCTTTCCTTAAAATCTTCTTTAAAAATCTCTTTCTTTAAAATCTCTTTTAAAGAAGGCAAAGTGCACAGTGCCAGCTAGCAGTATCACCAAAACACTTCAGAAAATAATTAGGCATGCAGGCAGGCGCTCTGGATATTGGAAATTGGGGACTCACTGCAGGGGTCCCTGATACTGGTATAAGAATAAGCTCTTTAATAAACGGTGCTGGAAAAACTGGCTATGCACAACAGAAGACTGAATCTAGACTTATCTCTCACCATTTACTAAACTAAAATCAAAATGAATCAAAGAACTAAATGTTAACACAGAAACCCTTAACCTTCTGGAAGACAAAACAGGTAAAACTCTTGAAGTCATAGGAATAGGCAAGGATTTTTTTAATAGAATCCCTATTACACAAAGAACAACAAGAAGAATCAGCAAATAGGGCTGTATCAAATTAAGAAGTTAGTGCACAGCAAAGGAAACAAATGTGAAGAGACAACCTACAAAAGAGGGGAGAGTGTGCCAGTTACACCTCAGACAGATGACTAATATCTAGAAAATGCAAAGAACTCAAAAACTTGGGAGCCCCCCAAAATTAAAGGCCGACAAAAAAGTGGGCAAGTGAAAATAATAGACACTCTTCAGAAGAATAAGTAAAAATGACTAATAAATACCTGAAGAAACGCTCAACATTTCTGGCCATTAGAAAAATGCAAATTAAAATGACACTGAGGTTCTATCCTACCCCAAGAAGTACGCTATCATCAAGAAATCAAATAATAACAAATGCTTGTGAGGCATTGGAGGAAAAAGGAATCCTTCTACATTGTTGGTGGGAATATATGGAGAGCTCTCAAAAAACTAAAATTAGATATTCCATTTGACCCAGCTATTCCTCTTCTTAGGTACTTTCTTGAAAGAGTTAGAGACATCATATTACAGTTACATGTTTTATATTAATATTATCATATCACATTATATTAGTTATATATCATGTATTAATATTACATATTATAATCATATTTATATCTGCACAACTCATAATAGTTAAATTTTGGAAGCAGCCTATATGTTCAACATATGAATGGATGTCATGGTTTGGAGTTTATTGCAAGGTGAAACAATATAATACAGGACACATATTTTATAAGATTATTTACAATAGTCATCCAAAGACATGTACAAGAGAGTATAGGAAATCTGTCCACACACTAAGACCAAGAATCAGCTGAGGTTCTGGATCACATGATAATGTCCTACATGAGTACAGCTGAAGACCTAGAGCCCAAACAATGCCTCCCACAATCCAGCTGGAGGCTCAGAGCCCAAGACAATGTCTCATGCAGGCTTGTTTAATGGATCTGCACTGTGAAGGGCTAAAGGTCAGTGGTGGAAGCTAGAAAGTCTGTGATGAAGGATCTGTGATCGCAGGCTGAGGGATCTACACTGGAGCTAGGAAGCAATGCTCAAAGTAAGAACCAGAGCTTCCCCGAAAAGTACACAACCATTTCCAGCAACAGTGAAGTCCCGAGCTCCTCCAGTGGTGAAGACAGCTGAGTTCCCATCAGGAAAGCCAATGCAGCAAGCTTCTCCAGGAGACTGGCAGTGCACCATCTTCACCTCCAGAGCCAGGAAGCAATTCTCAAAATGAGGACCAGAGCTTCCCCAAAGTGAACTGAACCTGTCCTCAGTGCCAACAAGGTCCTGAGCTCCTTGGAGGATGAAAACAGTCAAGTTCATCATGAAAGCCAGCATGACAAGCTCCTCCAACAGAACCAACAGCTCCTTACAGTTTCTACCAGCTCCCCACAGCCTTTTTCAGCTCCCAACAGCCTTTCTTCTTCTCCAGTTCTGCCTCTTATGCTGCTAGCAACAATCCTCAGGTGGGCCTCCCACACCCAGCACCACTCTTATTAAGTTCAGCTGGGTATTGCAAGTTGACCACGAGCTGTCCATCTACCACAATGGATAAATAAAATATAACATTTATACACAATGGAGTTCCACTTCATCATGAAGAAAAATTTGAGTCTTTTGTAGGAAAATGGATGCACCTTGTGATCATAATGTTAAGCGAAACAAAAACACAAACTTAAGTATTACATGTTTTTTTTTTAATGTGAGAAACCTAAATTATAAGTTCAGAACAAAATAAAAGATAGGTAATAGGAAGTAAGGAGATAGATCTTTCTCAGATGGGGAGGGGATCAAGAGATGGAGGGAAAGGAAAAGAGACGAAAAGGAATGAAGATGTGCTAGGCACATGTACCAGCTCCACACAAGCAATGTAAGCATTACGTACTGGAAACATAAAAAATGAAGGAATTGAATGACACAATTTTACAAGGACCTTTTGGTCTCTATGACCACTATTCTCTGATAAAGCAACTGTGAATAGCCAGAAATATTCCCAAGCAGCATCAGGAATAAAGGATGAAGAACTAGTGAAATCTCATCCACCAGCTGCTGCCTGACCTGGAGAGAGGATGAAGATTGGGCAAGAAAGCTCAGACTTGTGGATATTACCCTCTGCTCCCAGGGCAAGCTCCAAGTGGCAACGGGGGTCCTTATTATTTATACGCAATTTCATTGTTATGCTATTCTGAGATCTGTTCTTATCTCCTTTTTGAAACTATAAAACCCAGAAGACTTTTTGCTTATTTCTTTATCTCTTAATCTTGCAAAAACATATTCAGATATTAATCCTCCTACACTTACTGTAGCCCACTCCACAAGAATATATACCCTGCAAGTAGACTGATTTGTTGTATCTAAATGTCAGCTCTGATATGTGGAGTTAAACTGTTTCCATGGTTCGCTTTGTTGTGTGTAGTTTATGTTTCTTTTTCCCAGCTATCAAGTACATTTAGCTGTGCTGGTATTTTGTTACCATGACAATTTAGTGTCAAAGAAAATCCATAGAAAGAAAAAGGAACCTATTTAATATGGTGAGAGTTGACCTCTCAGCTCTACAACTCAAAACACATCATTATAGCAGGTTGAACTGACATATTGTGAGAATTCAAAATAATTGTTTATCCAGTCCATCACATTTCTACCAACAAGGCTTTTGTAACACTACGTTCAGTCTGGGACATCAGAATTTAAAAATCTGTCTGGAGCCTTGGAGCGGTTGAAAAGGGAGCTAGAGGGAAAAGCTGAAAGGTACATTTGCCTGAGGGTCACAAGTGAGACAGCAGGGGTTAAAGATCAACTTTGATTCCAATTCTTCACTTAAAAAATAGAGCAGAAAATCCTTCCAAAGTAAACATCAGAGTCCATAAATTGAGTTTTCTTCAATATGAATGATAACTTACCGGACAGAATGTATGCTTTACTACCTCTGGGAGGCTATCTACCATCTTCTGCCCTTTAATAGCGATTTTCTTTGGAGAAAAAGGTGTGTTTTCCTGATATTCTTACAGTAATTACAGTACCAAGAGCTCAAGGTAATTCAAGCACAAACAGTAGCCAATAGTTTGCCCATAGGGACTTTCTGGTATGTCCATCCTCAGCTTTCCACAACTGAAATCATTACTTGAGGTAATCAGCTTATCAATAAAAGGTTCATTTTTGCTCACAGTTTTGGAGCTTTATCTCCAACAGACTCATTGCTTTGGTCTTCTGATGAAGGCGCCCAATGGCAGTGGTGGAGAGTCTGTGGCAAAGCAACCCACTGATTTCACAGCCAGGAAGCAAAAGTGAATGAGAAGGGCATTAGGACCCCTTAATCCCCTTCAAGCGCTCTCTCCCATGACCTAAAGACCTTGACAAATTCGAGCCCAGCTCCACCGTGATTTAATCTAGCCAAACTTGGGCAGTTCATTCCTCTCTTCTGGGTCCATTTTCTTCAAGTGAAGTACGAGGATAATAATAACCACTTCCTAGAGGAGAAGTAAGGAGTGAGTGAGTTATCTTAACATCCTTTACCAAGTGCTTTACACATAGTAAGCATGCCCTAATCATTTCCTAATAGTTTACCTTATTTTCATTATTATTATTACTAATTATAGGCATCACTTTGTGAATCCTTTTTATTTCTCTTCAGACTCTAAGAAAAGTTATTTTATTTTGTCTTTGACATTCTTTTCTAGTTCTTTTTTTCCTTCAGTAATTGTCTCTGCAAGTTAGTAAATAAGACTAGTAGCAGCTGATGAGAATAAAAGTACTGCCCAAGACACATTAAAGGAAAGGGGAGCAACTTGCTTTAAGAGAAATTAGGCAACAAACAAAATGAATGGCACTAATCTTTAGAGAACCCAGGAATAATCTATGAAATTACCCCATTTTCTCATTTCCACTCACTTTCAGTCTGGCTTTTCTTTCTGTCAATGCCACCAAAACAACTCTTACAAACCTCAGCAGTGGTATCCACTTTCATAAGCCAAGGGACATTTTTCAGTCATTACCTTGCCTGACCTCCTTGGGGGTGATCGGCAGCCGTGACTACTTCATTCTTGAAATTCTTCCCTCTTCCCACTGAGTCTGTGACACCATGATCTCCTGGACTTTCACATCCTTTTTCTTACTTCTTTTCAGATTTATTCTGCACATCTTCTTTTGCTTGGGGTTCCCGAAGGACTCATCACAGAGAATTCTCTACTCATTCAGAACTCTTGACTCAGAATATTTTCCTAGTAATAATCTAGGCATTGAGGATTCTATTTTACATCTTCAATTCATAATATCTTGGTGAGTTTTGGATGTATTTTTCCAATTGCCTCCCTAAATTCTCCACTTTGATGTCCCAAACACAGATATGTAAGAACAAACTCATGATATTCCTTTCAGTGTATGGCCTTTTGCACTGTTTCCAATTTTAGTTACAGGCATAACCATTCATCGAGTTACATAGACCAGAAACCTAAGAAATCTCCTGTGATACTTCTTCCCCACATCAAATCCATTAGAAACCTCAAGAGTATCTCTAGAATCCGTTTTCTTTTCACTATTTCTACTTCCCTACTCTAATCTGAGCTGCCATAAAATCTCATTCACAACACTGCAAAACTTCCAAGCTGTTTATCTACATCTGCTTTGTACACCCTGCCAAACATCTGTCTACACTGCTACCAGAATGGGTAAACACACACACACAGACACACACACACAGACACACACACACACACGCACACACACTCACACACACATACACATTACTCCACTGCTTTTAGGCTAAAGAGCAGCGCTATTACACAAACGATGACTCCTTGTCTAGTACTTTCTGTCACCTGTCCCTTCAACTCCTGTGCTCCAGCCACACTGGCCTTCTTCCCATTTCTTGATCAGGAAAGCACCTCTTCCTCTTTAGACCTTTGCACGTGTAATCCCTTTAAAACATCCTCTGCTCCGTACATACCTCAAGTACACCCACTACATACCACTGAGACAGCTCAGTTCAGCTCTCAGCCTAAGTCATCTCTGTAGGGAAATTTTATTCTGCTGACCACTGCCAACTCCAGTGTAGCTCAGGTTTCTTTACTGTACACTTTTAGAGAATGTTGTATTTTTTTTCAGAGCACTTACCTAGATTTGTGATTACATATTTGTTTAGCATGATTGCTTGATTAACATCTGCCTCCCCTACTGAGAGGAATGGCATTCAACCACCATCCTCCTGTCTCAGTCATTCTCTGTCTCATGGTAGGAACCCAAATGATATTTGTAAGTTATGTTTTTCACCATTTAAGGGGTAAATCAATCAATACTTATTTATTAATCCAGTACTCTAATGAAATCTGCTTTCTACTGGATGCCAAGATTCTAGATACATCTTGTAAATCTGTTTTAAATATTTTATCTTTAACTTGGAAATTTTATTTTACTACTTTCACCTGAAATGTTTGCTATGTTAATCCATTGTGGGTTAAACTGTAGCATGTTTTCAATGCATCTGCATACCCTGGAGGCTTTATCAGAAAATGCAGATTCATAGATCTTCAGCACAGCTAATAAATCTGCACCTCTCTCTGTGAAGGCAAAGAATTTTCATTTTTAATAAGCACTACTACATTATCCTTCGGCACATCAAGCTTGAGAACAGACATATTAAGAATTCAGACTAGACCTCAAGGAAATACTGAGTACCTCAGTTTGAAACACACCAGTGTGCAGTCCATTCAAACTACTAACCGGGCACCAGGTCAACAGTTTGGTTACTGAAATTGTATTCTCCTTTTCAGCCTGTCTGTGGAATGGCCCTTACAACAGAATGGCTTTGAGGTGGGTGAAGAGCATTTGTGAGATCCAGACTGCCACAGCCTGGGACATGCCTTTGCACACTCCATTCAAGATTTTAACCCTGTGCCAGGTCAACGGTTTGGTTGTAGGAGTCACATTGTCCTTTTCAGTCTATCCGTGCAGTGGGCCACTGGCTGCCACTATAGAGAGTGGCTTTGGAGTGGGAAAACAGCATTTAGAAGTACTCATGACTTACAGAGTAAAGGCTACTTCTCAGTGAACTATGTTCTATGGAAAGGTCACTTTTTCTTCTATAATAAATAAGAACAATAATGCCCAAACTCCCAAATCTATGGCTCTCCATAGATGTAACCCCAAATCCCAAACCCCAAACCCCAAGGAATTCCAACGTGGCACATGAAACAATGAGGCAAAGATTTAACTAGAAGTAACCCCTGAATATAAATCTGTATTTGAAAATTCAAGCAAATCCCTCTTCTTTTAAAAAAATATGCAACTTGGGGTTCAAAATTGTTTTCCTCTAGCTTATGAAGACTGACAAAATGAGTTTAGTTTTGAGCAGTCAGGAAATGAGGGCTCCCATCCTCACACCTTTAACATCTATCCAGTTTCCTTTTTAAAAAGGTACATGTTTTAAGCATTGTCCCTGGGAGAAAAGACATACTATTTCCCATTTTGTTGTAAAATGCAGGTATCAGGCACTTTCTAATTATACAAACGGAAAGAGAAATCAAGACAAATGTTTGTTCTCTAAAGTCAGCTTTTGGGTGTCTCTTTACTCAGTGAGCTGATGAGATTAGGAGGCAGACTCCTGAAAGTAGAAAACAGAAAAGCAGGAACTATTCAGCTTGCTTGTATATTATCTCTTCTTTCATGCCGGAGATGGTTGTAGAAGATCCAGATGGGTCAGAGAACAAAGTTCACTTGCCATTCTAAACTTCCAAATTTTCTTTCTGGTCCCTTTTATTCTCCAGAATCACCAGCCATCTATTCATTTGCTTATTGTGGGTTTGCCAATGAATCCAAAATAAGAAACTATTCTTAGCCATATGGATTCTTAGATTAGGCATATAGATAAGAATCAAGGGATCATGTTGACAAGGGGTGATGGTGAAGACAGAATCATAAAGCCAGCTGCAGAAGGACTGACCTGGGGAGTGTGTAGGCTACTAGGTCTTTCTGTTGATTCACAGTTGAACTATTAAGAATTATAGGCCATAAAGTTTTAGTCCAGCATGATGAATAAGCTCTGGAGATCTGCTGTACAACGTTGTACCTAGAGCCAACAGTAATATATTGAACACTTAGACATCTGTTAAAAGGTCAATTTTATATTACATGTGATTACTAAATAAATTGTAGGCAAATTGTTTCTGGCCAAAGGTTCAAGATTACCAATCTCCAAATGTTCTAAATGTACAATCTTTGTAAGGCAAATATTTTGATAAAATGCCCACATTACAAATATTTGCTTATTTATAAGTTATATGTATATTCTACTCTAGATTTGCATTATTAACATTGTAAGATGTATATAAAAAGACATGGAATGAGTCCATCAGAATTTTAAAATAGTAGTACCAAAGTATTGTCCATATTTCCCACATAACGTATTATTGCTTTGACATTTGAAGAACATTGTTTTAAACAAAGAATTGCATTTGCTATATGTGTGATAGGAATTAAACAGATGGTAGCTTTTATTACTTGTGTTTTTCAGGAGTTTGTGCTATTAGGATTTAGTTGGATAGCAACAATGGAGCTGTTCATGTTGGCGTGGAAAGGACCTTATTAAGATTCATCAAAAGGTTCACAGCAGCATTGCTTATAGTAGGGAAGTAAGGGAAACAACTATTAAATAATAGATCATTGGTTAAATAAATGATGCTATCTCTGTACAATGAAATTTTTCTTTTCAATAAAAATGAAGATCACAAAGATGCCATGGGGGAGGCTATAGGGTTTGAATTGTGTCCTTTCAAATTCAAATATTGAAGTCCTAATTCCCAGTACTCCAGTATGTGACTTTATTTAGAAATAAAGTAATTGCAGATACCTTTAGTAAATATGAAGTCATCTAAAAGTAGGGTGGATCTCTAATCCAGTGTGCCTGGTGTCTTTATTTAAAAAAGAGATAGGGCATGTGTGTACACAAGGAGGTAGTCATGGGATAAGCAGAGTTATGCTGCTCCAAGCCAAAGAAGGCAAAGAGTGCTGCTGGGAGTCCACCAGAAGCCAGAGAGAGGCACAGAACAGACGTCCCTCACAGCCCTCAGAAGGAACTAGCCCTGCTGATACCTTGATCTTGGGCTTCTGACCTCTAGAACAGTGACCTAACACATTTCTGCTCTTTAAACTAGGCAGTTTGTGTACTTTTAACAGCATACCTAGAAGACTAATATGTATAATATCCGACAGTATTATGTTAAATTGAAAAGATTTCATATAATTGCCCATGTGGTATGAAGCCCGCTGTATGTGTACACAAGCACATGATTACACATGGAGATATAATACCTAGAATGCTACTGTTTATTTCTTTTTTATTTTTTTTCATTTTAAAGAGAATTGAAGAAAAAGGATAACAAAATGCCAACAACATAGACAAAAACAAAACAAAGCAAAAATGATAAGAATGATACAGGGTTTCAGAACAAAATGACAAGCATTAACAGGGGTTGTTATTTTACATATTTTTATCTTCATTGAAGTTGGTCAGATTACCAGATGTAAGAATGCAAGATTAATCAAACCATTAAAGAGAATAAAAAATAAAAACAAAAAAATTCTAAATGATACAGAGTTTCACCAAACAAGATGATAGGAATTCAACAATGATTGTTATGTTGCATATTGTCACCATATATTTAGATCACACCTCCTTTTAACAAGAGAGCTGGAGTACTATTACTAAGTGTGATACTATATCCACAGTAGATTTTAATTAGACTTCCCCTTGCCAGGACTCCTGCCATTTCCTGTCACATGATAGCCTTTAGAAGGAGCTCAGGAACTGTTAGTATCTTAATAGGTATATCTCTCAGAAAAACCTGTAGTAGCTGTCCCCCATTATCCATAGAGATATTGTCCAGTGATATGGCTCTAAATGGATGCCGAAACCTTGGAGAGTACTGAATCCTGTCCTTACTATGTTTTTCTTATATGTCCTGTAATGCTGTCGTATAGCACCAGAATTAATCTTTCCCTTTAAGTTTTATGCCCTGGTCCCTCCTTTGTATCACAGCTCTTGCACTTGGGGGCTACTACTAAGTAAAATATGGATTACTTGACCATAAGCACTTCAGTACCATGACAAGTTAATCAGATCACTGAGACAGTACCCAAGTGACTAACAGTGGGTAGTTACACAGCATGGATAAGCAGGACAAAGGAATGAGTCATGTCCTGATCTGAATGGAGCCAAGCAGCTTGAGATTTCATCATATTTCTGGGAAGAGTATGAACTTCAAATGTATGAATTGTTCACTTCTGGAATTTCCCAATTGGTATTTTCATACCATGCATAACTGAAGTCACAGAAACCAAAACTTACGGATGGGTGTGGAGATTCTATTCCTATCCTTGGTCCTTCGCATGTAATATACGCCAAAAAGGAAATACTTTTATACGATAGAAGTAAAGCTGGAAGCATGCAGCTGGATGAATGCTCATGGGAGAGATTAAAACATCTTTCAATTTTAATAAATTCCTGGAAACCAGAATATAATAATTGGTAGACAAAGACATAGCAAAAGATAAAGGTCACTAAGATATCAACATTGCAAAGATGTTAATCTATTTTTATATATAGTGAGCATCAGCTTTGTTGCATATCCTGCAGTTTAAAGCTTTTCATATTTCTTATATTTCCCTAATTCAATTTCATCTGCTCTGAGGCCCCATCCCATTCGCGTGGCAGGAAATTCCATCCTAGTCATTATCATGGTCTCTCTCTGCCCTCCAGTTTCATGTGGAAGCCACACCGATCAAAATGTTTGTGTGGGGTCCCCTTGTCATTTTTTGGAGGTGTTGAGAGAGGGCAGGATATATTATACTATTCAGGGGCCACCCCTCTCTGAAATACAAGTTACCCTGCCCTGGTCTTCCAACACACTCTCCAGCTTTCCAGATCGGTGGATGTTACCTCCTGCTTTTCTTGCCCCAGAATTCCCCAGAACTCAAGAGAAGTTCCTTTCTTCCTGGACCTACTTCTTCAAAAACAAAGGCCCCTTAAAAGCCCTGACATCCCTTTGAGGGCAGTAGAGGGAGGAAGAAGGTGGGTTGGAGACCAAGGAAAAGACATTCATATTTCTTTATTCCATGCTACTTAGAAGA